ACAAAAATTCCGGCTTTGTTAGGTTGTAGCGCTGATATTTACCTTCATTTTAAAACCTTCCCGAGCTTTCTAACATTTAAAATGGCGGAGAAATCTTTGACACACAGTCAAATAAAACGAAAAAAAAACAGTTTCGAGAAAAACGCAAAACAATTTTTTTCTTTGATTATTTTTTGATGCAGGGGTCTTCAGAAAAACCGTTGTAAAACCCTCAAAAACCATAGAAAAACCAATAAATTATAGTGCATTCGAAAGTAGAGATGATGGGCTATCTAACTATGTATAAATCTAAAAATCGACATTTTTGTCGAAAATTTCTTTTTTTTGAGAGGGGGGTGGGCCTTAAGCAGAGATGTTCAAATAAAACCTAATTATGTTTAGTTTAGTTTTAAATCAAATTTTAATGCTGAAAAATTAAAAATGAATTTCTTTAAGTCTTCTTCTCAGACTATGACAGAAAGAAATCTACTATATTTTTAGCGATCATTTCGGACAACCAACAGCTAAAGTATGAGATGAAAGAAGATGTGTTACATTCTCTTATCTTTTTTACCTCATACAGTATGAATAACGGTAGATTTAAAAGTTTTTTTTGAAGAATCGAAAGACTTTTGAGTAGCACACGTTTTTTACACCTGTCACCTTGTTTATTGTTGTAGAAATAATATCATCAATATCATAGTTTTTTTATCTCTTTCATAGAATTTAATATTTACCCAAACTTTATACAGATTTTCATAAGAGAATAGATCGTCATCGTTGTAATTTTACCAAAAATAAAATGATTTGAATTGTTATTATAAAGTATGTCGGCACGATCTGAAATACCTTCTTTTGACCAAGAGACCACTGATTCACGTGGACCATCAAGAATACCCTTGAAATGGATTATATTTGGAGTTATTTTCTACATAGCTTCTTTACTTACTGTCGGTCTACTAGCCGGTTTACTTCCGAAACGTACTCAACACGTAGTAGAAATGTGTACAGTTGGACCACAACCAGGAACAACGTCAACTACCTCACAACCAACGCAAACAATGCCAATAACCACAACCTTACCATCAACCGACGACAACGTCAGTATCAACACCCTTACCGATAACAACGTCAGTATCAACACCCTTACCGACAACAGCATCCCATCGACACCCATACCGATGACAACGTCAGTATCGACGCCCCTACCGTCGACCCTTACTATCAGCCAGCAGTAAGATAAAGTATGAGATGAAAGAAGATGTGTTACATTCTCTTATCTTTTTTTCTCATACAGTATGAATAACGATAGATTTAAAAGTTTTTTTTAAAGAATCGAACGACTTTAGAGCAGCACACGTTTTTTACACCTGTCAACTTGTTTATTGTTGTAGAAATAATATCATCAATATCATAGTTTTTTATCTCTTTCATAGAACTTAATATTTACTAAAAACTTTATACAGATTTTCATATGAGGATAGGTCATCATCGTTGTAATTTTATCAAAAATAAAATGATTTGAATTATTATTGTAAAATATGGCGGCACAAGCTCAAATATCTTCTTTTGACCAAGAGACCCCTGATTCACCTCGAGCATCAAAAATACCCTTGAAATGGATTATATTTGGAGTTATTTTCTACATAGCTTCTTTACTTACTGTCGGTCTACTAGCCGGTTTACTTCCGAAACGTGTTCAACAAATACAAGTCATAGGTACACCTGAACCAGAAAAACCGTCAACTATCTCACAACCAACGCAAAGAACGTCAGTATCCACACCCTTACCGTCAACCGACGACAACGTCAGTACCGACATCTTTACTGTCACCCCGTACTATGAACCGTGTAACGTAACAAACTTTCAATGTTCACTCCCTAGTGAATGTGATAACCGTTTACCAGAAGGAATTTTACCACTTCATTACGAATTAGAATATACAATTGAAAGTATGACACAAACAACTTTTAAAGGATCAGTTAAAATACATTTTAAATTGAAACAACCTTTAAAACGTCTAGTATATCACGTGAAACGAATGACCAAACTATGCCTACCCATTCTTAAATATGGAGATGTAACAGAGGATGTAAATATGTCACTTTGTTTGCAGAACGAATGTGTTATTCTAGAAAAACATTCTGGTAAATTATTTACAGAAGATGATACAATAAATTATACTCTCTATCAAGATTTTGAAAGTAATTTGAATGATGGCAATGTGGGATTTTATCAAAGTGAATTTAAAGATACGAATGGTGATAGGTAAGAAAGAAGTTTTAAAAAGAAAAACTTGTAACTGAAACTTTCTTTTCTAGGAAGCTTTTGGCAACAAAATTTCAACCAACAGATGCGAGAAAAGCATTTCCATGCTTTGATGAACCAAAATTAAAAGCAACATTTAAAATAACAATTATCCATCCACAAAATACAATTGCATTAGCTAATTTTCCTGAAGAGGTTTGTTGATGAAATTTTTAATAATGTTTTAATTTACTTTGTAAATATGTCATCCTAGAGTTCGGAAAATCAAGACAGTTTAAAACGAACAACATTTCAAGAAACATTCAAAATGAGTACTTATTTGGCTGCTTGGGCTGTGGTTCCAAGTGACTTTGGTATGCAATCGATAGTACATGAAAATCGATTAGTAAGTAAACGGTGTATTTAATTTTTTTAAATATAACTTGAATATTTCATTTTAGCTTCGCATATGGGCGAGAAAAGGGCCAACAGATAAAAACCAAACATTATTTGCCTTGGAAGTTGCTCGTGAGGCAGTTACTTATTTTAGCGAATATTTTAATATGATTGACGCGTTACCACCCAAAAAAATTGGTAAATAGAAACAGTAAATTTTTAATCATTATGAATGGCCGTTGTTTTTTAGATTTATTGGCTGTTCCAGATTTTGCGAGTGGGGCTATGGAAAACTGGGGTTTAATTTCATTTAGGGAAGATCGACTTATATTGGATGAAAAATATGGTGCAGCTCAACAAAAACAAACAATGGCAGAAACCATATCTCATGAATTAGCACATTTTTGTATGTAATATAAACGCTGTAAGCAAAAGTTCACAAAAATACATTACAATGATACTTTTCAATAGGGTTTGGAAATTATGTAACGTGTGAATGGTGGGATGATCTGTACGTATATTTAGTTAAGGGATACATTTCTTGACTTTCTTTTTTTTCTTGAAGGTGGTTAAACGAAGCAATGGCAACATGGCTCTCTTACAAGCCATTAATTAAAAATCATTCAGAGTGGCGTATGGATTTGCAAGCATTAACAGAAGATGTCATTGGCGTTATGTGGGATGATGCTAAACCAAGTTCACATCCAATATCAGTTCAAAATGTTACTACAGCTGCTCAAATAACAAGTTTATTTGATTCTATCACCTATTCTAAAGGAGCTAGTATTTTACGTATGTTAGAAAAAATTGTAGGTGAGAATAAATTTCGAGATGGATTAAGAACTTATTTGAGTCAAAATGCATTTGACGTTGGAAATCCAGACAATTTCTATAATGATTTTACATTTCCAAATTCTCTTACTGGTAAAGACTTGATGAATAATTGGTTAGATGAATTAAATTATCCATTACTAAATGTACATATGACAGTAAATGACAACGGTACGATATTAAATTTTACTCAAAGTCGATTTTTAATATCAGATGCACTGGATTCTTCAAATTTAAATCAAAGTTATAGATGGATATTATATATCGAATGCGTTTTAGGTAAGAAACAAAAATAATCATCTTTTCACATGATTTGAGGTAACTAAACTCCAGTCATTTAGTATTAGAGTTTAATTTGAATCAAGTCAATCAATCTTTCTTTCTTTCTTTCTGTTAAGGTGGTAATCCTATTAATGGTATTCATACATCCAATATCGAATCACTTCCATCCTTCTATTTCTCAACACAACAAGAGATCCAAACACTGAATAATAAATATTTTACGTGGATCAAGTGTAATAGAAATTTTACTGGATTCTACGTGACTAGCTATAGTTATACAGACAAAAATTCTACAACAGAAGCATCATCAAATCAAATGTGGAAACATTTTGAAAGTGTATTACTGGATGCACCAGAAGTAAGTATAAACTAACTTTTTTATCATCTCTATTAAGAGATTTCATTAATAATATTTATTTTTCTAGTATTTTTCTGATGAAGATAAAACAAATTTAATACATGACGCATTTTTATTGAGTTATAAAGGTGTTATCGAATATGAAGCACCTTTGAGAATAGTGAAAACACTTCGAACAACAAATAACAAACAATATGTACTATGGAAAACATTTCAATGGCATTGGGATAATTTGGCGAATGTAATGGAACATCGAGAAAAGTTTAACCTTTTTCAAGTAAATATATCTATCTCATCTATTTAAACAAAAATAAAATATCTCCACTAAGATCCAGTAAGATTTTTGTGAATATGTTTATTTATTTTAGATATTCTTAATCAATCAAATTCTTCCAAGTGATGGTTCAATCACACTAGATAATATCGTAGCACCTGCAACGGATCATAATGAAAGGTGAATATACCTTACTGTTTGTAGTTGGGATTGATATACATAGTCAAATATTTTAGATTATTACGAGCACTACAATTTAGTAGTCTATGTCGTATGAATAGCACGGATGCATTGAAAAAAGCCAGTGAACTATTCAAAAGCATTCCTCTAAGTTATTTTCAAAACAATGATAATGTCAGTTTGAAGTAGGTACTTGTACCTATTCTCCTAATTTCTTTTTTTATATAGTTTATTTGCTCTCTTTTCAATACAGTATTAGTGATGATTTTCTATCAACAGTTTATACATGTCACATTCGAAATACAAATAATGATGACGACTGGGAAACATTATATAAGTATTATCAACTTGCTCTATCACCGCAAGAACAACTACGAGCATTAAATGCAATTAGCAATTCAAAGAATACTGTTAAATTGCAACGGTAAGTAAAACACGATATTGTTTACTGACCTTATTTCTATGATCTTTTCAGATTATTGCAAGAGGGCTCGGCTAATTCGAGTATATTCAAAATACAAGACTTTTTTAGTATGTTTTCTTCTATATCGCACAATCCTACAGGCCGATCGATTGCATGGAATTTTTATCGTGATCATTTTCAAGAATTGATTGACAGGTAAACGCAATAAATCTGAGATTTAGAATACATCAGTTTACACAACTTTGAAATAAACTTACCTTTAGGTTTGGTATAGATAATCGTCGATTAGGTACATTAGTCTTGAGTATTGCACGATCGTTTGATAGTGCTACTCATATTAATGAGGTAATTAAACAAACATGCTTAGAGTGATATATTTTTTCTCTCAATGTGTCTATTTATGCCAGATGGAAGAATTTTTTGACAAATATCCCATCAGTGGAGCAGGTGCAACAGCTCGAAAACAAGCAGTGGACTTGGTGATGATGAATGGCGAATGGGTAAAAAACAGAGAAGACAATTTGCTTCTATATACACAGATATAGCCAAAAATAGTCAATATAATATCGATCAAAAGAAATAACTTCGGTAAAACTGATATAATTATTATTTCTTAAGAATATTGATATATTAACAAGAAGAAATAGATATACTTTTTGAATCGTGTGTTATAGATAATTGTATGTGCAATCTCTCTCTCTTCCAGCTGGATAATTCTGTATAAAACCAGCAAGAAATGCTCTTCGTTTTATGTTATGAATAAAAGAATAGCGCAAAAAATATCGTTTTATCACACATGTTTGTTGTTTCTATCTTTGAAATCCATAATGAATCTGATCTAAACTCTCACTCTCATGATCTGTGCTAAACGCTCCGAATTATCTTCAATCTATTCACATCACTGACGTTCTCACAATAAATACCTAAGGATTTCAACTGACTAAACACTTGTTTGAAGAATTTTTTATGCGTTTTCTAGATAATCTAAAACTAGAGTACTCTTAATTAGAGACACTCTTTGAAATTTTCGTTCTCTTTTTTTGCTATTTCTTGGCCGTCTTTGTTTTACTGCACGAGTGTATGCAATGGGCCCCTGTCGTTAAAATCTATCGCTACTACCCATGGAAAAAAGTGAATAAAATAGAACGGTCAAAAACGCCTTTTTTAAAAGAATAAAACTCACGATCGGAAAAAGTTGCTATTGAACAAAGTGGTAGATCGAACATTTTCCTACACGCACATGTAAAAATCTTTTGAAAATCTCCGACCAGTTTTGAGCCAGATCAAAAATGCAAAGAGCTC